TTCCTTCCTTCCTTCCTTCCTTCCTTCCTTCCTTCCTTCCTTCCTTCTTCCTTCTCCATTCTTCCTCCCCGTCTTTCCTTAATCCTCGCTCTCTTCCCATCTTTCCTCCTTTTTATTTGTCTTTCCTCTTTCCCTTTCTCCTTTCCTGTCCCTTCTTGCATGCTCAAATGCAAAAGGGGAAACGTTTCTCCTTTTGTTTTGTTTTTGTTTTTGTTTTGCCAGCCCTCTGCCAATGAAAACGGAGGCATGAGAGGCCCTCTCAAACTCAATTTTCACTGGCAGAGGCTCGGCGGGCCAGTCCTTTTTCTGTTTCCAGGGCTGACCTGCGGGCCAGATCTAAGCATCCCGCAGGCAGGATCCGCCCCACTGGGCTTTGAATTTGACACCCCTGGTCGATGGTTTAGCAAAACATATTTTGGTTTTCCCACAGAACAATGGTAGAAGAAAAAAAGTAGGCGTTGATTGAGTTTCCTGTTATTCATATCAGTCTCAGGTCTGGAACAATCAGATCTTCCACCCCTATAGACCATACATGGCTCAGGGTGGGAGACATCCAGAGGTGGTATTCAGCAGGTTCTGACCTGTTCTGGAGGACTGGAAGCTTTCAAGAAGAGACTGGGCTTCCATCTGTTCAGAAACAGTATAAGGTCTCCTGATTTGGGTGGGGGGTTGGACTAGATAGCAATAGCAATAGCACTTAGATTTATATACCGCTTCACAGTGCTTTCTAAGCAGTTTACATCATCAGCATGTTTTCCCCAACAATCTGGGTCCTATTTTACCGACCTTGGAAGGATGGAAGGTTGAGTCAACCTTGAGCCTGGTGAGATTTGAACTGCCAAATTGCAGTCAGCAGAAGTAGCCTGCAGTACTGCACTCTAACCACTGCACCACCACACTCATATAGATGACCTACAAGGTCCCTTCCAACTCTGTTAATCTGTTAATTTAATAAAGTTTCCTTTGAGTTAATAAAGATAATCCAGCTGGGTACAACTCCAGAGGGTGATGCCCATCTCTATTTCTTAGCCAAGGGAACTGCCATTGTCCAAAGACATTCCTGAGGTTAAGTGACCACCATTGCCTGTACCCTAAGGTGGTACCTATTTATCTACTTGCATTTGCATGCTTTTGAACTGCTAGATTAGCAGGAGCTGGGGCAAATAATGGGAGCTCACCCCATCATGCAGCACTTGGGTCTTGAACACAAGTTTTCCAGCTAACAAGTTCAGGATCTTTAACCACGGAGCCATTGCATCCCCTATTGAGTTAATGGTGGATTCAATATTTTGAGATAAGCTGGTAGGAGGATCAATCCCAGTTCTGCCAACTTGTTCAGACTACAAAACCACAAAGATTTCACGGGGCTTTGCTTTCACGCACAATTTAGCACCATAAACAAAGAACATTCCTTTAGGATGAATTAACATTTTTGTTGTATCATCAACCTCCAGATTCCATCTCAAGCATAATTCCTTCCAAGATAACACCTGCGTAATAGATTAAACTTTGTACCGTCAAAATGGCAGGTGGTCAAATCCAGGATGCATTTCAGACTGAAGAAAACTGTTTGCCCAAAAAAGTCTTAAGTAGCTTCTCTTTATTTGGGGTGGGGGGCTTGGCTGTATCAAATTATGTCTAGGACGTTCTGGAAAACAATGGCCCCAGATCTTCCCCTAAGCAGAATAATTAGGACAACATTTGGGAGAAATCCTGAGTTTTTGGTAGGAAAGGCTGGGGTTAGGAGGCAAAAAGACACAGGGCTGCTTTTAAGTCAAACCAAACCCTGTTTGTAAGGCTTATGTAAGAAGAATGTTGTTTACAAGCAGGGCACGGCAGACTGCTCCAAAAGAATGATACATGGAACTTCAAGACTAGTTGAACAACCGCACCCATAGCCACAGAAAAGCTGGAGGAGATATTTTCTAGAAGAAATTTTCTTGCCAACACTAATCATGCCGAACGCACCACAGCCCACACTGGTATATTATGATGACTGGAATATCCCTGAGCACAGCCCGCAATTTTGAACACACCACAAAACATGGTGGGCTGTCCCCTGATACCAATAGATGACTTCGCTAGGGCTTGCGGCCTTAGAAGAGTGCGGAAAATCCTCAGGGTCAACTCACACCCTAGTCAGCACTTCTTCACTCTCCTACCGTCGGGTAGGAGATATAGGATAGCCAGCTGCACCAACAGGCTGAAGAACAGTTTCTACCCGTGGGCTGTTAGCTGGGGTGGGCTGCTGGGGGTTCACAGGGGTTCGGGAGAGCCCCTAGCTAAGATTCTGTGCCATTCAAAGAACCCCCAAATCCCCTCCTGGCTGGCCCCGCCCACCCGTCCCCTCCCTTCCCAGGAGTCCCCACGCAGCCAGTTTTGGATGCAGGTAAGTGCAGGACACGCATGGAGGCTCAGGAAGGGTGAAAAACGGGCCACCTAGAAGTTTGGGGAGGCTGCAAACGGGCCCATATTCGGCTCACCCAATCTCATTGTACACATGTTGTATCCTGACAATAAAGGTTTGAATTGAATTGAATTGAATCCCTAAGGAATTGGGATTCCATGTATGTTCCCTGCTTTTGTTTGATGGATGTAAAAAAATACAGCTCCACGCCCAAACTTTCTTCACAGGTGATTTACTTCTTCAGTTGCTATAGCCAAAAAAAGCTCTGGATCTTTTCCCAAGGCAAACAGGTTTCTTTAATTTATGATATTGTTAGCCCACAGGCACGGAAACGTTTTTGAGGATGTTGTTAAGTTATGAAACTGTTACACAGGCTGTCTTATCCAATCATCTTAAAGAAGGTATTTACATATCAGGGAAAGGCAGCATTTACAAAACAGGGGGGGAGAGGCGAGTAAAACACCCTGTCTGAAGTTAGGGCTGTGTCTGTGTGAGGTTTTGCAACTAGATCACCACACAGTTCTATTTTAAGCTGAAGGTCATTTGCTTATAAAGTTGATTTGCTGTCTTGGGGTCTGGGATGAAATTCTCAAAACATTTTTTCCCCTGCTGGATTTAAGTCAGCCCTTTAAAAATGTAACTTAATGCTGAGTTTAAAAGATAAGGAAGCTTCAATATATTATAAGGCATGGGAACATTGGTATAGCTGGATAGATCGGAGACAGATTAAGGACAAGTAATTATTAAATATAGAATATAGATAGAAGAAAAATATAATTATGCATAAATTAATATTTGTAAATATCGCACAAATGATTGTTATACAATAAGCACCACAAACAGCTGTTATTGAATTATATATATATATTTTATGTTTTTAATGAAAATAAAATTCAATAAAGTTTTAAAAAAACATAACAAGTTTTTCATCGACTTTTGCACCTTTCATGGGTGTTTGGCTAGGAGAAAACACATTTAGGCTGAGTTCTGTTTCCAATTTCACCTGTTTTTGTTTTTTTTAAATAACAATGAATCTGTTGCACAACAATAGTTATTGCTATTTGCGAGTGACACCAAACATTATATCAATTTAGTGTGAAACAATGATATTCTCACTTCCTTATTTATAATGAATCCCACCCCTCTCCCAGAAACCAGGATCCAGGCTTTATTGAGTTTGCAACGCAGTTTGCAACTCAATAAGAACTACACAAACATACACTCAAAAATACACACATATATAAAACTGAGTGGGCAGAGACAAAATTAAATTTCCAAATGTAAGAAGATTATGCCATGCTACAGAAGCTTCTTCTTTCCAAATGTAAGCATTAAGAAAAGTGGAAGCAATTTATTTAAAGGCATATTCTCTTTTTAAGATCAACTCAGGGACTGACCAAGAATAAGGCGTGAAAAAAGGAGAAGCTGGCTGAAAAGCATCTTGAGAGATGCTCCCATCCCTGTTTTTGAGAAAATAACTATATTCTGAGGGCAGGACAAGAAACAATGGATGGAAACTCACCAAGGAGAGAAGCAACCTAGAACTAAGGAGCAATTTCCCGACAGAACAATTAATCAGTGGAACAACTTGCCTCCAGAAGTTGTGAATGCTCCAACACTGGAAGTTTTAAAGAAGAGATTGGACAACCATTTGTCTGAAACGCTACCGGGGTTGGACTAGAAGATCTCCCAGGTCCCTTCCAATTCTGTTATTCTATTCTATTCTATTCTATTCTATTCTATTCTTTTTTTTTCCTATATAGGGGCTCATTTCTTTGCATGCCTTAGGGATCTGCTAGTAAACTTCATCTTCTTGTTTTGACTGTGAAAGAGAGAGAGAGAGAGAGAGAGAGAGAGAGAGATCAAGCAAAGTAATAGGAGGCTGAGAAAAGAAGGAGAAAAAAAGAAGGGAAGGATAAGGAGACGAGAACTTCCATAGGCAAAACCAGAGAGAACTCTGCACCGCGACGGATTCTCCCTCTTACCAATGGTGATACAAGCCAGCACCACGGCGCAGAGTCCAAGCATCTTCCCCATGGTGAAGTTGATGTCCTGACGGATTAGAAAGATAGCAGTGTTATTCCAGCCCGGCAATAGCTTCGAGTGCCTGAAGAGTCTCGCCCGCCTCCCGCTCCCCCATCCTATCTATATACCCGCGTGATACGCCCCACCTTCCCGAGCTCGAATTGGCCGACTGGGTGGGATCCGGAGTAAACTGCCTTCCTTCAGCTACGGGCGTGAGGGGATCCTGGGAGGCAGAAGAAGTCACACGGAAAGGGTGAGTCAGAAATGGGAGAGGGGGAGAGAGAAAGGGAGAGGGAGAAAGAGGGAGAGAGAGTGGAAAAGAAGGACTGAAAGAAAAAGAGGAGAGAAAGAAAGGAAGGGAAAGGAAAGGACAAGAAGGAAAGAGAAATAAAGGAAAAAAGAGAAAAGGCAGGCAAAGAAGAGGGAGAGAGGGTGAAAAAAGAGAGAAAGAGAGAGGGGGAAAGGGGGGAAGAGAGAGAAAGGGGGGGGAGGAAGAAGGAAAAGGGAAAGGAAGGAAAGGAAAGATGAAAACAAAAGAACATTTCCAACAATAGAACAATTAAAGAAAGAATTCCGGTGGAGAAAAGAAACACAACTGGTTCAAAATGGGCAACCTATAGATTACCCCAAATGGTGGACACATACCTCTGGGCAGGATCAGATCTTCAGACCTTTCTTGAAGGCAGACAAGCCTGGATCTCTCCAGATTGTGAGGGAGTATTGCTGTCGAAGCAGGTGCACTGATAGGGAAGGCACATTTCTGGATCCTGTTGGATCTTGCTGGAAGAGCAAGCATCATGGGAAACAGGTAATCCATGTTGTAATCCAGGGGATTCCCAAACCCTGAGTCACGGCCCACTACTGGACTGGGGCCTATTCAGAACTGGACCGCATAAGTGGCTGGATGGAGCATGTGCAAGCAGGCAGCTCAACTTGTGTGAACAGCAGATTGGTGGGCACTTGTGCATGTGTGTGTGCCAGTCCACTGCTTGCACAAGTTGAGCTGTGCGCGTGCACGCCACTCTGCTATTCGTGCTAGGGCTGCATGCACATGTACGCTGGCCTACTGCTCATGTGAGTCGCTACGGTTGGGCATCACTGTTCTAGTCTATAGTATACCCTATACGTCTTTATAGATTTAACAGATTTAACAGATTACCAGAGTTGGAAGGGACCTTGTAGGTTATCTAGTCCAACCCCCTGCCCAAGCAGGAGACCCTACACCATTTCTGACAAATGGCAGTCCAATCTCTTCTTGAAAGTCTCGAGTGATGGCGCTCCCACAACTTCCGAGGGCAAAGCTGTTCCATTGGTTGATTGTTCTCACTGTCAGAAAGTTTCTCCTTATTTCCAGGTTGAATCTCTCCTTGTTCAGTTTCCATCCATTATTCCTTGTCTGGCCTACAGGCACTTTAGAAAATAGCTTGACCCCTTCCTCTCTGTGTCAAATATTGGAAGACTGCTATCCTGTCTCCCCTGGTCCTTCTCTTCAATAGACTAGCCAGGTCCAGTTCCTGTAACCGTTCTTCATATGTTTTAGTCTCCAGTCCCCTAATCATCCTGGCTGCTCTTCTCTGTACTTTTTCTAGAGTCTCAACTTTTTTTTTTTATGGTGTGGTGACCAAAACTGAATGGAGTACTCTAGGTGTGGTCTTACTAAGGCTTTACAGAGTGGTATTAGTACCTCACTTGATCTTGATTGTATCTCTCTGTTAATGCAGCTTGGCTTTTTTGGCTGCTGCTCCACACTGCTAGCTCCTATTTAGCTGATTGTCCACTAAGACTCCAAGATCCCTCTCACAGTTACTGCTATTGAGCCTGGTTTCACCCAGTCTATATGTGTACCTTTGCTTTTTCTTGCCTAAGTGTAGGACTTTACTTTTCTCTACACTGAATTTCATTTTGTTAGATATGGCCCAGTGTTCTAGTCTGTCAAGATCCATCTGGATCTTGAGCCTATCTTCTTGGGTGTTAACTATTTCTGCCAGCTTAGTATCATCTGCAAATTTGGTAAGTTCCACTTCTATTCTAGATGAAAACTAGCACCATGAATCACACCCAATAGCTACTGGTAACCACTTAGCTTGAATAGATGTGTCACATGGGTGTACCAACTATGCCATAATTATTCATACTGCCACATTGTGGATGAATGGTAGCTTCTGTGGCAGCCCCACAGAGAACTCATTGTAGGCTATCTGAGGAATTCTGGCAGAAAGAAGTGGTCTCTTGTTAGCTTTTGGTCTCCTTCTGCCACAACTTCAGTTCACCTTTCCAAATTGTCATGTTCTCTACTAGCCCAAGTAGAGCATTGCCTTGAAGTATCAGGTGACTTAAATTCTTCAAGGACTCTTGTGAGATAAGCAAGTTTCAATAGCCACATGAAGGTCAGGAATGACAACCTCAGAGGGTGATTCGTTCAAGCACAATCCCACAATCTGTAGGAAAAAACATTTCCACAAGACAATCACCTGACCACAGAATAATAAAGCAAATATATGCACTTGGAGATACTACGGGGAGTCCATCTGGCTAGAAATCCTGCTGTTGAGAGACTTGTTTTAAATTCACAGTGAAATGACCTCTTTCATCACCTTATCCAACTCTTCTAACGCTTTGAACAAAGGCATTTTTTTCAACAGTCCAGTTGCCTTTTGAAAAATACCTTTGGGACAACTATGACCTGCAATCTCCATAGACCTTTGAACCAAGATCCTTTTAATGAGAAGTCAATGAGAAATGGTTACTAGTAGTAGATTCATTTTCTTTATTCTGGAACAAAAGCCTTGCCGTATTCCAGATGTTGTTGATGTACCCTCAGTTCACCCACTGAGTCATTGAATCCAGGTTAGTATCACAGAATGATAGAGCTGGATAGTATCACAGAGGTCCTATTTTACCTATTGGATCTCATTGGAAGGGTAAATATGCCCATTCACTGCTTGATACAAGGTTTACTAAAGTGTTTTAGATAGATGGGTAAGTTATTCAATCTCTGTTTGAACACCTCCAGTGTTGGGGACCCTACCCTACCCTACCCTACCCTACCCTACCCTTCCCTTCCCTACCCTACCCTACCCTTCCCTTCCTTTCCCTACGCTACCCTACCCTACCTTATTCTACCCTATCATACACACCATACCACACCATACCATAATCTCCCTACTCTACCACACCTCACCCCTACCCTACTGAAACCTATTCCACTGGTTGACAAATCTTACCATTAGTAAATTTCTCCTAATATCTAAATTGAATTATATTCTGGGGTCCTTGGTGCTCTCTGAACTTGATTATTTCCTTGCAGACGTTTCCTTACCCAACTAGGGCACTGATGATATCATACCTGCTTGGATAGTGAAGCATCTTAAAAAAAACAACAACCAAGCTCAGAGAGCTGCAAAGACCCCACAGTTTAACCCTGAGCTGTAATTATTCTCTTCTATTGATGAATATACTAAGTAGTTCCAACTGTCCTAGTTCTGACCTTGGGGGTAACTGAGAACAAGCCGAACGCCTCCTCTACAACCTGTTTGATATCTGAATACGGAAGATCATTATAGACCTTAGATGTTCTCTTGTCCAGGCTACACTTGTTCAGTTCTTTTAACTGTTTACCATAGGATTTGACCTGTATTTTCTCAGTCCTAGTCATTTAACCATTATAGTACCTCTCCACTAATAGAGACAAATCTGTCTAGCTTGTAGCCACACAGGCAGAATTGGTCTCAAGAAACTGTTGTGATCTCCCAAGGAATCGTTTGGTCCAGGTCTATCCCCCCTGGCCTAGAGGTTGAACTGGGTTCACAACTGTTGTGCAGCTATCAATTTACTTACTTCAACTTTCAAATGGACAAAAGTACAGCATTCCTTCTTTGGGACCCCTCTGCCTAAAGACACATTGGGAATTAGGAAAATAAGTGCAATTTGGATAATTAACTAATGTTTTTTTTAAAGAGCAATCAGATGCTTGGTTTAACAAATGCAGTCCCCAAAATATGCTCCAAGGGTTATGTCTGAAGCAAACAGGATGGCTAGACATGTTTGGATATCTTGCTCAAGCTACTTTTGATAACTGTCACAAGAGGAATCTGCTAGGATTGGCCTTATTGTGCACAGAGACTCTTGTGAGGAGATTATTGTTGTTGTTATTGTTGTTGTTATTATTATTTGCCTGTAGGACAGGTCTGAGTGAAAACAACTATTTCAGCTCATAGTTGTCTGGATTCAAACAACATCTGAATCAAATAGATGAATATTTTCTGCAAATAAATATACACCTACCTCCTTTGATACAACTCACAACTATGATCTGTTTATATTGTTTCAGGAGTTGACATTTTGGATTCTTGTTGTATTTAATTCATCAAATATAAATTTGAATTTTGTCTTTTATTGTTTTGTTCTTGGTATGCTTTCCTCTTTAGCATAACTGACTTTCCCTGAGCAAACATTTTTTTTTGTCGTACTGAGTGCTCCAGCCAAGAAAAATAGTTTCCAACTTTTTCAGATAATTTATTAGGGCCTCCCAAAACAATAAGAACAGAAACCAAAAAAAGAAAAAAGAAACACCATGTACATTAGGAAAACATTTCTATCTCATGAAAGGATGAAAACAGAAATCTAGATGAGTGCTTAGGAATATGTCAAAGCAGTGCACAAACTAGTCCAAAGAAGTATAAAAGCATGACAAAACTTAAGAAAACAGGAGAACGAAATGTGCTCTTAGAATTTGCCTAGAATGAAGTGGTGACAACAATGTTCAAGTATGCAAATATATTTACTTGAATTACATAATTCATAACCCACTTTTTAGCTCAAAAGAAGGAGTCAAATGTTAGAAATAGAAGAAATAGTTTAAAAAATCCTGGGCAGAAACTAAAGAGTGGGCAGGTTTCAGAACTGAAAAAGCTTCTTATTTTTTTAAAAAATTATTTATTTATTTATTTATTTATTCATTTATTTATTTATTTATTTATTTATTTGTCAATTGCTTACAAGATAACAGGTATACGTATAAACATAATGTAGTTATGAATACATGAAATGGATACATATAAGAAAAATAAAAAGAAACAATAGGTCAGGGACGGTAGGCAGGTTGGTGCGCTTAT